AAAAAGTCTCTATAGAAAAACATATATATCTCACTATCGAAAAAGACTATATTCTTAAATAAAGAATATATTATTAATTTCAGAAGAATATCATCTAAAATCTTTAAGAAGATTTTTTAAGTATAAAATCTTCTACTTACAAGAATATAATTTTTTCGGTGCGCGCACACGTAGAGTCGGAGACAGTCAGGGGCGAGAGAGTTAATACGTCAATTACAATCAATGACTGGCTACGTTTAGCGGAACAATCGCTGAGCCGTAGTCTTGTCAACTCGATTTAGATATTACTACTTGATTTAGATATTTGATTGGTTCTGAAAGGAGAAAAGCAAATCACGTTTGATTGCTTACCGAAGCAAGCAGCTTTGTTTCGTTGAACGCAGCCAGCGTAAGCAACAATTGCCTTTTTTATTATTGTTGACTGTTTTATAAAGCGCAAAGCTTTAAATACTGTAGATTTGTACTTTGTTAAACTTCTTAGGAATCTAAATGTGTAATATATATATATACACACACACACACGTCATGATCAATTTTACATACACATGAGAGATATTATATGCACAACGTTTTTTCGTTTTATTTTACAATCACGCGACATTAAATCTCGTCTCTTGCATTAATCTCAAGCGTTGTGAACAAATACTAGTGGTATTCGAAAGAAGTGAGAGAAAGATCGCACGCTCATATCACAATATGCGTATCTCTGTGCTCACATCTACCGCACGTGTGCGTATATAAGGAACGTGTGTGTGTGCGATGTGAACGCGTTCGGAAGAACTCGCTTGGAGACACGCGCTGTATTTGATTGGTTATTTTTATCAAGAGAAATCCAGAGATGATACCCGAGAAAAAATGGATTAGATCTAACTTAAATTTAACGAGATAAAAAAAAATGGAAAAATAGATCTAATTAGATCCAAATTAAATCTAAATAGATATAAATTAGATCTAAATAAATATAAGTAAATCTATGGAAATTTACACTTTTATTTATTATTAGATTTACTCTTGATCTACTCAGATCTATTATATCAGATCACCTCAGATCTGTTCAGATCTGCTCAAATCTAATTAAATCTGAGTAGTTTTAATTATAACAGATCTGAGTAAATCTATAAAGTAGATTTAATAATATATAAAGGTGTAAATTTAATAGATCTGCTTATATTTATTTAGATCTACTTTATATTTATTTAGATCTACTTTATATCTATTTAGATTTAATTTCGATCTAATTAGATCTATTTTTCCATTTTTTTTATCTCGTTAAATTTAAGTTAGATCTAATCCATTTTTTCCCGGAATTTTTTGTATAGAACTTTTTTAATAATCGTTTCTAAAAATGGCATTTTTACACGCACACACTTCTTACGTGCAATTTCTATACGAAGTAGAAAAAGTTTTGTCGATCACATCCCCCCGACACCGGTTTTGTAAACATTTTCAGAATTGTCACTCGAATGTAAAGTCTGTATTTCTGTGATATAATTGAGAAATTTGTTGAAACTTACTGTGTCAATGGATACAAGTATATATATGGTTCTTATACATATATATATATATGGACATGGCAACACGATCGCGAGAATATTAGCGTACTTTAATATACTTAGAAAAACCGTTGAGGGGAAAAGTCCAACGTAATCTCGAGCTTGAGTGTGTTTGAGCGATTTTATATAGTCATAGGCGTGATTTTTCTGTATATAACACCATATATACATAAAGATAATAAAATAAATATTAAACAATAACATTACCGTGTATTGTATTTGATGAAAAAGTATTTGTATTTTTTATTGTTTTGTTTGCGAAAGAGTCAACATGTGCAACACGATGATCGGGCTTTAAATTTTAAAGGGCTCCGAGAAAAAATGGATTAGATCTAATTTAAATCTAACGAGATAAAAAATAATGGAAAAATAGATCTAATTAGATCGAAATTAAATCTAAATAGATATAAAGTAGATCTAAATAAATATAAAATAAATCTAAATAGATATAAGAGTAAATCTATGGAAATTTATACTTTTATTTATTGTTTTAGATCTACTCAGATCTATTATAACTAAATCTGAGTAGTTTTAATATAGTAGATATGAGTAGATCTAAAGTAGATTTAATAATATATAAAAGTGTAAATTTAATAGATCTACTTATATTTATTTAGATCTACTTTATATTTATTTAAATCTACTTTATATCTATTTAGATTTAATTTGGATCTAATTAGATCTATTTTTCTATTTTTTTTATCTCGTTAAATTTAAGTTAGATCTAATCCATTTTTTCCCGGGGCGTGCGTAGCACGGAACAGAACCGGATCAATGAGCGCGTTTATTCACAGAACCGGCGGTGTTCGCGTGTGTAGTTAGCGCGCTCGAAAACGTGGACATCGCGGCGTTTCGAGAACGTATCTCAAAACGACGTTCTTTGCACGGTGTTCGGGATTTTGCAATTGTCGCCTTAAAGTTTTCGCAGACGTGATTGATCGCGCATTGGTCAATTCTCTCGATCCGGGGGTTTCATCGCGCGCTCCACTCTCTCGTGCGTTCGTCATCTTATCGTCCGCTATAACTCCGCGAGAGAGTTAAATACCTCGATCTCTCTCCCCCAACGCTTGTCTAACTTACAATTACGTATAATTCGTGTCACTCGTGATTATGGCGATCATCGCGGCGAGATGAGAAAGAGAGCAGCGCTCGAGGAATAGTGTTGTGCAAGAAGCGCAAAGACAAAACTCTTTGAGTAGTTTATACTAGGTGAACGGGGGCATATATTTGGTTTTATATACGGCAAATTTTGAACGGGTAAGAGAAATCGACGATAGCGGGAAATTCAGTCGGTTTTCGATCTTTCTTTGCCGCAAATGGATCCTAGCGATTTGCGAATCGTCGTAGTAGCGACCAGTGTGCGTGTGTGTGTGTGTCGTCACCGTGAGCTGTCGATCCGTTTCACAAATCACGGGTCACCAACGGCTGTCCTTTCTTCCAGCCATACCTGAGTACAATAATAGATTTGGCTGGAACCTTCCCCCCCCGCAGCCTGATTAAATAAATAGTATTGTGTCTCCGTACCTCATACCGTGGCTTCCGCCACACAGTAGCGATCCCGACGTCTCGCGCGAGACAACAAATTTTTTTTTGTTTTTTACGTCGACGTAAAACCCGCGACAAGGAATTATTTTCTCTTCTCGCCGTAACAACTTTTTTGTGTTTCACATCACATAACCTTTCACCTTGTGTCGTCGTTATTGCGAAAAGATTAAATTGTTGTGTACGTAAGAGAGATCACGCTATACGTGTGAGAAAGATATGTTCGGTGTTAACAAAGTGCGCGTAAGCAAATAATACAGCAGTTGATGATACGTTATATCGCGCATGAGGTATAGCGTGCGCGCGTTCGACGATTGTTTTTTTTTTTTTTTTTTTTTTCATTTAAAGAAATTTAAAATCCCCCGCACGTGCCGTATCTTTAAACAAGCGCAAGTTTAATTGCACGCGAGATGCAACGACTGCTATCTTTCGTTTATGCGCAGTTGAGAACAAAAAAAAACAAATGATGTCGGGGAATAATTGATTCGATTTTTTTTTTTTTTGTAATCTGACACTTCGATGGATTTTTTTTTTTTTTCCGCAGCAAGCGGAGACATGGAGGGTCAACAGTTTTGTTTACGATGGCACAATTTCCAAAATACACTTTTGAGCTCTCTCCCAAAATTGCTTGACGGTGGCCACCTAACAGATGTCACACTGAGCGCTGGTGGTAGACATATTCATGCTCACAGAATCATACTCTCAGCCTGCAGTTATTATTTTAAAGAATTGTTTAAGGTACCGCTTTGAGTATATATATATTTTATAAAAACTTCACAAACACAAAACAAAATTGACACCGTATTAAATAAGAATTCACACATGAATGAATTTTTAGGACTTAGGCTCCTTGCAACATCCTGTCATTGTGTTGCCAGGCATGGAATATGCAAATTTGTGCGCTCTAGTAAAGTTTATGTACAATGGAGAAGTAAACATTTATCAAGAGCAATTACCTGCTCTTTTAGCTATGGCTGATACATTAAACATATGTGGATTGGCTGATATAGCTGGGGTAAGTGCTTTGTTTTTATTATCAAATAGTGTAAAAAAATAGTAGAAACTGTGTATGTTTAAAATTAAACAAAATGGTAAGCTTTTGAACTTTCTCTTCTAGTTTTATATGAAGAATATACTTGTAATATGTACTTTTTTTTTATTAACTTACTTTATTTTGCATTTGCGATCTAGATATGATGTAGGATAGTTTTTATCGATATTCTCTTATGTTTATTTTTATCTTTTTACATTTATATGTATATATATATATATTTACATATATATATATTTACATTTATAGATATAGATATATATATATATCTGCTTTAGATGCAAAATCTCATGAGGAAGATCCCATGAGAGATATAAAAATACTCAAATAATTAAAATTCTTATCAATATAGAGTTTATTGCATATTTATTTTTTTAATTAAGTTTTCAAATATATATTTGCTTGCCAAACATTCTTATGCGTATAAAATAAATAATATTAATAGCTATGTAGATGTATATATATATATATATATGTATATATATATATACATATATGTAACATGTATGCTATATTGTAATGTAAAAAATAAAGTCTGCGCCACAGTATTAATGGCCTGCTCTGTTTAATACTTAAGGTAATTAGCATGAAAATTACTTGCTTATTTTAATATGTTTGCTCCAGCAAAATAGAAAATTTTGAATTTACAAGAGTGCATGACTGGATATATAAGATCCCTCTAACAAAAATTGTTCTATTCTGTATCAATACTAAACATGTTATTTTTTTGTTGATAATAATATAATCTATTATGCTATATACTCACTAAAATGTTTATAAAATGGCTACAGTTGGGAAGATTACTCGTTTATGCGACCATTTCTCAACAGGTTCTCCATGTTTCTTTTGTTTTTCAATTATAGAAACAGAAATAGTTTTTTTTCTGTTTTATTCTTACATCTCAGGTTTTCTCATGTATATATATATATTTTTTGTTGAAGTGAGTAATCTGTTATAGAGCTCACTGGTTGACTATGCAAATGTGAATACAAACCAAATTTTGTTTTTTATCTTAATAAACATTAAACTACTTCAAACTATAATGCATTTCTTTTTTTTTTTTTTTTTTTTTTTTGTTACTAATATTGATATATACAACTGTTTATGCATTGTATAATAATAATTTTGATGATATCTGTTTAGTAGCTCTCATAAATAATGTTTCTTTTTATTAAACACTAAAGTACTTCTTTTCATGTCCTTGATATTTGTAATCTTTATATGATAATAAGTAAGTGTTGTGTTGTGTAAACGCGTTATCTCTGTGTCGTGTAGAATTTGTTTTGTCTAATATAATAACCACATAATATAAATTGTATATCACAACACTTACATATCATCATAACTTATCCTTGTAACACGCATGTGTCTAATGCAACATACTTAAAAACAATTACAGAATTGTCACAAGTGATTTTTTTTTAGAAAGAACCCGTGTACAATTAATTTCTTCTTTACTTCAGAAAACAAAGAGAAAATGAAGCAAAAGAATTTGCATTCGCTTGTTCCTTTCTTAATCTTTTTATAATACCCTATGATCGTGTTGTTTTGTTCAGGTCACTTAAAAACACATTCACTGTCGTTCCTCAAGAAGTACTTCACGAGAAGAAATTATACCGCTACACATATTATGTTCGATACAATACACCGAGAAGGAACGATAATGAATAAAAAAAAAAAAAAAACGATATCCACGAGATCAAGATCGTTGTGTGTGTTGCAACTAAATGCAAGTGGATGCATCCCATGGAACCTTACCCCATAGAATGACTTTACAGGTATATTCAAAGTAGCTTCTTTCTCATGAATTTTTTTGTCTAAATTACTAAAAACTGTTTATTAGCGAAGTTAGAACAGCGATTTTTTATTCAACAGACAAAAGGTTTTCTTTGCAGTATTTATAATGCTTGTTTGCAATGCCACACTTTAGTTAAGTGTGACGATAACAAGCGCGTTACCATTAATTTATCAAATCCAAGTGTGTTGTTTAACTAAAGAAAAGAAAAGGAAAAATGTAGAGTAATTTTTTCAAGTAAAGTCTTGAATTGGTTCAATATTAATGTTAATTTATTGTGAATTACTGGAAATATATATGTATATATAAATACGTTTAACACTTTTTACATATCTCTATAGGAAGAAAGAGAGAGAGAGAGAGAGAAAAGTACAGAGAGTTTAGATAAGATAACTTACTTACATTATTAAAATAGAAAATCGTTGTTTATTCTGATGATTATTCTGCGGATCCATGTCGAAGAGACACTTCTTATTCTTTATTGAATATATTAGTTATCGAATATATTCTTTATTGAATATATTATTAAATAACAACAGTTTAAACTATACTGCAGACTATACTAGTTTTTAATAACTTTGTATATATATATATATAAAACAAATATATATTGCACAAAACTGAACAATTATTGTGCAATGCATAACCTGTTGTATAAAATAGAATATATTTCAACATCATTCTCGTTCAAAAAAAAAAAAAAAAAATGTTTGCTCCCTGTCATTAATATCCACGTATACACTTGTACGTAACTATCGAAAGACGAGAGAAATTTATATTTTTGTATAAATCTCTTTCTTTCGTAAAATATAAAGTATATATTAGCTTTTATCACATAGCAAAAATTTCAATCTTATTTTTAATTAACATATAAATGTAGAATAATATAAAGAATACAGAGACGCTACACGTAGCTGTAACTACTATTGTTTGTCAGATCACATATTTCCTCGAGCTTTTCTTTAGTGGAAAAATGTGATGAGCGCGTTATTGACATGATCGGTGCACGTTTTCTTATTTCAGAAAAATCCGAGGCACGATAACGGTTTGTACGTAGAACCGCCGGTTATAGAGTCTCAGAAGAAATTGTTAAACGAAGAAATGATAATGACAGAATCGAAAAATCCGACGACTAACGAATTGATGACACAATCGATATCCGCACCGCTACCCGAGAAAACGGAGAAATTGGATGACGAAGAGCCCAGCAACGATCAAGAAACTATATCGTACTGTGTGAAGACAAAGCCGTATTACTCTATAAATGCGAAGTTAAATCAAAGAGAGAAAGTGTCTGTTCCCGTTAACGCGTCCACTAACAAGTACGTCGATAAAGGATATTCCGAGAATATTACGGATGAGGTCGCGCCTGTTGTGGAGGAACAAATCACACCCATGGAGGACGTGAAACCACCGCCAGACGTATGGGACGCTGGTTACAAGTTGCTCACGCCGTCCGCATCCGGCGGACGAACTTCCCAGACTTACAACAAATCAAGTGTAACGTGTGTCATTTGTGGTAAACAGTTGAGCAATCAGTACAACTTACGAGTGCACATGGAGACGCACAGCAACAGCTCGTACAGTTGCACGGCGTGTCCGCACGTATCGCGATCGCGAGACGCTCTCAGGAAACACGTGTCGTATCGACACCCGGTAGCTCCTTCGCAAAAACGTCCACGTTATAACACGTCGAAACCACCACTATAGTAAAGCCACTTTTATGTTCCTATTATACACGAAATAGAAAAAGTAATGAGTAAAAATTTATTTTCGACACAATTTGATAAGACAAAATTCTCAAATGTTAATAACTTTTTTCGGACAAAAAAGTGTTTTTCAAGTAAATTTTTACAGAAGAAGTAGTCTCATTACTTTGATATCAGACATTGCGTGTTGCGTGTATTGCGCGCGCGCGCTCACACATAAGACGCTTGAAGTCCTTCTAGAAAATACCTCTTTACCAAAACAAACAAAAAAAATATATATATATATAAATAATAGTATGATTACAAAGTAGCGCTCGGAAATTTTAGACGTTCGAATTACTCAAACTGCTTGAATCTCAAGCTCGAACGTTCAAAATATCTTGGGTTGATAAGTATTATACATAATCGAACAGTTCCGTTAGTTCGGCCATAAAAAGTGAAACGCGTTACGGAAAACAAAGAATCTGGTTTTTTGTCTGTTTGCGAAGCCTATCGTCAAATTAATCGAATGGTTCGAAGGCTACTTGTTCAAATGTTTCCGCCTTGAACTTTTCGATTAATTCGAACGTATTTGTTTGAAATCCACAAAGAAACAAAATCCGAGAGAGAAATTGTACAAAAAAAAATTTTTATCATCCCCACCTTTTGACTACGGAACGCCGTAAGTGTCGTTAAAAAATTCATGAGATTTGTAAAAAAAAAAGTTTATTCGATTATGCAAAGACATGTGTACGGAAAATTATTAACTTTTTTACCAAATTGAGCATGTAAAAATATGAGCAATAAAAATGCGCGCGTCGCAGCCAAAAGGTTTTTAAAAAGCCCGTTTTTTGCGGCGCATCCTACATATTAAAATAAATTACCGATAAAAGGTATCGTACCTCACTTATTTATAAGAACAGCGTTGGACTGATTAATAATAAGACATGGTATTAGCAAGTGCTTTCGTTAAGTGTACAAAAGCGTGATCAAATTTTTGAAGACCCTTAGTGTTCGAATTGTTATCGTTTTCTTGTTACTGTTACATCGTTTTAATAAAGACAAGTTAGATGATACGAGTTCACTGTGTGACTTAATGCAAATGCAAACATTCTCCGCGACACGTTCGAAGACCGAAGGCTCTCGGTTCTGCGAACAGCTGTGTAGAACGATAATGAAAGTTTTTGAATTTTACTGACGTGTAGGGTATGAAGAAAATTAATCTAAAAAAAAAAGATTTGTGTAGAAGATGGCAATATAATCTTTTTAATCATATATATCAAGGATTGTATTAAAAAATAATATATAATATATTTGTAAACTACGAAATAAATAAAATGCTTCCAAAGTTTTAGTTTCCTTAAAGAAGGTGGCAATATAAACGTTTCCAAAAGTTAATTTATATCTTTTCTATACGCCATACTTTAGTATTGCAGTCCTGTCCAACCGAGATTAAGGTTTCCTCATCCAGCCAGACTAAACGCGTTATCTGACTCTGAGGATGAGCATCTAAAAGCGTAAATGTTTGTTTTTATTATACACAATTATAAAGAGATTTTATTCGACGAGAATAAACTTACTTTTGATAATGGTATGTTTGGCTGGATTTGTCACGCTCCAGATGATGATGGTCGTGTCAAGACTACCGCTCGCAACCATGTCGGAGGTGAGAGACCAAGCGACGGAATTTACTCTCGCGTTGTGGAAGCCCCATTCTCTGTTGTGCGCAAGCTGCAAAAATCGAATCAATTTAAAAAATATTTAAATTTTTTTCTTTTTATATTCTTATTCTTTATTACAGAATACAAAATATTTATACCACATTGACGTGTCACTCACCCTCTGCCATAATCCATTAAGCACACAACAAACAATAATTCGTTAAAAAAAACAGAGATTATGTGTTATAAAATTACGTTACATAGCATCAACTAATTGAATGAAGATTAGTAGACACTGTTGTTGTGTAAAGCACAACAAACACAATTTATAAAAAAAAGTATGTGAGGAATTATGAAAAAGTATACTTTTTTATACACAATGTACATATATAGCTTTTGTCTTGCTAGATTGATTGTAAGTAGTTCTAAATTATTTTGCATACAATATATCTTACTTTGTATTCTGGTGCGGTGTACAGTATAACTTTCCTGTTTGCATCACAGGCAACTAAATATTTATTGTCGGGACTATAGGCCGCGTCTGTAACCGGACCCAGGTGTTCTAATTCAGTCTTTTCAGTTAGCGTAGTGTCCGACAATTCGTAAATACGTACCTATACAATAAATTAGAGATATTTTGATATTAACACCAGTTCTTACACATACACGTATACGTTCCATGTATTACATAAAAAAAAAAAAAAACAAACTAACTTTATTATCGGATGTAGATCCAATAGCTACATCTCCAGTTTCTTGATTAATTGACACACACGATGGCTCATAATCAATCGGTACACTCGACAGCTTCTTACCGTTTTGCGTAACTGTGATCTGTAGAGCGTAATATTTCGATGTCAAATATTGTTGTTGTACGATTTGTTCACGCGTACATCATATATACGCGTTTGATTTTTACCTGTCGAACCGAAGCTACTACGGCTATATCGTTATATATATCCAGACCTCGTGGTTGCGAGTCCAATTTTACTACAGAAGTCTCCGCGTACGCATTTGTCGCAATGTCAACTGATCTTAAAGTATCATCAATGCCGGCGGTGTACAGCAAATTACCCGACGCCTTCATTCCGTTAATTTGATTACCATGACCGTGTCCTTGCACGCGATCATTCTCCCCCGTCTCTGCGTTCCAGTTGGTGATATAGCCGTCATGAGAACCGGTATAAATCGTACTTCTATCGGGACTTAACGTTAGAACCGTTATTGGCTTGTTATGACCCTGAAAAGTTGAAGAGAAGAGAATATATTGAAGTTTTAAATTCTAGAAACTTCGAAAGACGCCGGTAAAAAAAAAACGAAAGAATAGAGATTTACTTTTATTATTTTTATAGGTTTTTGAGGATTATCGACGTCAAGATAATTGATAAAGCCGCTAAGTGACACGGATAATAGATGATTCCCTTGCCAAAGACAGCTCACCTGAAAGTTCACAGATTTTGTTTCAGCTTATTGCACATATTACTTTTTACCAATACCTGTAGCTTTGTTAACTAAGCTTCGTTAACTAAGCTTTGTTAATTATACAAATTACCAACTTGTTGATCGTCGACCGTTGTTCCCATATTGAACTCGGTAACTAAAGTACGCGTTTCTACATCCCACAGTTTACAAGTTTTATCCCCGGAAGCAGTTAATAGTTGCTTACCGTCAGGTTTCCATGCAACCTGGAATTGAAAAAAAAAAAATTTGAAAAGATAAAAATTTCTTCTTGCACCGTTTTTTTTTTTTTATCGCAAATGAATTAAAAACGACTGTTACGTACCGCGTAGACTCCACCCTGATGTGCGGGAGAGCCTATTTCACCGACGAGATCAGAAGTTACTCCGTTGTATAGAAATACTTTGCCATCGAATCCACCGGAGGCAAACAGATTTCCGTCGAGCGAATAACGTACGGTTTGAACGAAACGTGTATGTTCTTGCTTTGTCATCCTGAATAAGCGCCAAGTATAATAAATCACGCGAAAATTTAATCTTCTTAACGGAATGGCGGAGTGTCGCTATATGTATGTACATACTTGAATTTGAACGGAGGTCCTTCGAACACAGCGATGGTATTATCTTCGCTTCCGGTTATTAATCTAAACGGTCTGGCCGGTCTGAAGTCGCACGAGTTGATGGATTTACTCTGACCGGAGATCTCACCCACCGACGTTCCTGTTTCTGCCATAAAGACATGTCCAAATCTAAACACAATTGTTATAACATAAATTATCAACTTTAAATATCGCACTCTTATTGCAATTACATCTACAAACGACATTCATCACCTTTCTCTTCCTTCTCCGACCACGACCATACGCTGACTATCCGGTGACCAAGCGATGTCTTTAATAGGCCCGCCGATAGGTTGAAACTCATTTTTTAGTATATGCTCCTTATTTACTGTATCCCAAATACGCACCTTGCCCGATTGATCTAAAATAAAAGTGCGTTTTCTTTGAGATTACTAGAATTTTTTGTATAACAAAAATCTCTAGACAATATTATTCTATAAACGATGCATTAAACATTTACAAAAATAAAATATATACCTCCTGAGGCTATGTAAAAACCACTGGGAGAATACTTGGCGACGTTAACGGGGCAAGAATGTTCTGTGTAAACATCCGCAATTGCGGGATTCTGCAATGTTTAAAAATGCATATCTAAATAAACGACCGTCTGTACTTGTACGAAATAATAAAAATATTTTATTATTTTGAGCGCAAAAAAAAAACACTTACATCAATATTTCTAATGATAACGCTGTTACCATTGGTGTATAAAAAGTTCTTTCCTTTAGGATCACCACCTAATACTAGAGGTTGTCCTCTTTGGGTTCTCGGTAATGCAGCAAATATATATTCTGTAAATGATATATTTAAACTAAAGAGAAACGGAGAGATAAAAATATCTTTACTAACAAATAAAAGTACGAGAGTGTTTAGTAAATAATACAAGAAATGGTATCTCTGTTATAACTACTATTTTTTAAAATAATTATTGAAATAATTATTTTTGTTATATTTATTAAATCTTTGACATAATATTAAAAAGTGTTAAGAAAATGTTGTTGTACAGTGAACACAAGAGAGAGATCAAATATTATGCAAACAACACACACAATATATCCAGATGCTGGAACGAAAATATCCTTCCTTGATACATTGGCACGAGTCCAGTTCCTTATGTCTCAAATTATCTTTAGCACTAACAAGATACAGTTTGTTTTACACTAATGCTACAGTTGCTGTCTCAAAAGTACATAACAAAAACATTGTAGATGCATTTAACATAAGTAAAAAAATACTATAAAAGATATATTTTAAAAAATAGATACGTTAATTGAGAATGCCGTCAATAATAGAGAAATTTTTCTCAGTTTTTTTCTCCCCCTTCTTTTAAACATTTTTTGTTATCTTTATTATCTTTCAAAATATAAAGAATTATAATTATTTATAAATATATAACGTTATTACTGAAGCTTATTATATTGAAATTTTTTTAATATCTTACGTTTATCTGATAAAAACTTGCAATATCAAGCAAATTTCTTATCTCAGTAATTCCCTATCTTAGTCAGTTAATATCATGTTGATTCATTTTCTGTATATGGCTGTTGATTCATCTTCTGATACATGTACAGAATGTCTTAGATAATTCAAAAAACCTTATTTTGTACATTTAATGTAAAAAGAATAAGTAAAAGCGTTTTTGTGATAAATACTCTTCAGAAATATATGACAATGTAATAAAAAATGCAACAAAATCATATATATTGTTGTTTCCTTTGACAAAATTCAAAATACTTTCAAAAATTGTTCCAATTCAAGATATTCCAATACGAGACATGCATTCTTGCGAAAAAATTTTTTCACATTGTTTATATAAAACAAATTTTTTTTAATTATTTTTAAAATCTATATTTCAATTTAAAAACTCCTTGAAGATGTAAATATTAAAATTCGTATTTTTAATGTAAACGTTATTAAAAATTACAAATATATATGTATATCATGTATTTACATTTATAATATTTTATTGTGCACAGTTGTTATTTTTCCAATTTTGTTTTTTTCTCTTTCTCTTCTTCCACAATCTTATTTTTACAAAATATTTAAAATAATTGTATTATTATTTTTTAATCCTTAAAAAAGTACACACACACACACATACACATATAAATAATACGTAATTTCCGAATCACCCTGTATGTGTACAGATTGACATCAGCCGCGCGTCGACATCGTTCCGGTGTATGTCACGCATCATGATACAGTTCTGACTTAAATGAAAAGTAAAACGAAAAAAAAACCAGAAAATATAAAATAAACTGTGCAGCTCCTAGTGTTAAATAAAAAAAAAAACCTATGCAAAAGCGCATGAAAAAAAATCCATACAAAAACATCTTTTTCTATTCTGATATTTTGGACGCGTAACGGACCTTATACCGTTTCACAAATCAGAGATAAGCAAACCGGAAAATTGAAGAGATACTTCGATGTCACGGAATCGGCACGGTACAGGAAGCCGGTCGCGTACGTTCAAACCACTTTGACTTACTTGTTTCATACGACATTTCTTCAATTTAACACGGCTTCTTTGCAGCCACGCTATCCGCTATCAAAATCAAACGGGAATCCGCTGTCAAGAGGATCTGACGTCTACAGCTATGTGGTGTGATGACGGCTCGCGACAGAATCTCCTACACACTCACATCTGCCGAGTGCTGCTTGTTCAGTTGTTCCGCCCTTCGCCTTATTTGGCTGAAGCATAAACAAAGGTGTTGCTAGATCGAGGCGCGTATGTAACAGGTGCGCTTTGAATAACGTTGGGTGACGTTTTCATGAAGACTGTTCAAAAAGTTCTAGCGCCATCTGACGGTCAAGCAAGTCTACTAACAAAGCCGAAGGTCCATAAAAGCGCCATCAGCCAGAGAGAAGACTACGAGAGCGGCTACGAGCGTATTTTATAGCGATTTCGGCTGGTTTGCACCGGACTGCACATTTCGGGTGTCGGTGCAAATTGTGTGCTCGGCTGGTCGAATGGCAGCAGTTCTTTGCTGGTTCCGCGTATTCGTCTGAGCTCAATACACCGCATAGGTGCATGTTGGGTGTACACAACGCGTCAATGAATCGAGGAAAAGGCGCGGGGATCGGAGGGCAAGCGGGGCGGTTGCTCGTAGCGCCAACGAGCGCCGTGCGAACTAACTAGTAGCAATCGGTTGTCCACAACTACGTCGTGTCGATAATGTAACTGCTCTTCCTTCCTATTTTCTTCTCAAAACGTAAAACTAATGGCCACTTACTTATAGCGATTTCGGCTGATCTGCACCGGTGTGCCACCTGTGTAGAGTTGGTGCAAGTGTACAGTGCGTACACTCATGTGGTGTTGCACTGGATATTTCGACCACGCTAGTGTGTATCAGCCGAACACGAGACCACACCAACTGGCTCCAATTAATTTGTGAGAGCCACTTTGTGTACACCCAACATGCATCTATGCAGTGTACTGATCTCAGACGAATACGCGGCACCAGCAAGGAACTGCACCATTCGACCAGCCAAACACACAAGTTACACCAACACCCAAAATATGCAGTCGGTGTACACCAGCCAAAATCGCTATCAGATCGATGTTATCAGAGAGAAACCTGAGAGCGGCCATTCTAATGTAATTTTTTACGAC